AAGGCTGATTTTAAACTCCCTAGCATACAAATCGCCACCCGGCATCACCACTACCAAAGCACAAAAACCCCCAAAGAATGTATAGCTTTAATTAGGCCCTTTCCTGTGCTTCCTACCTGAGGACTTGATCTGCTGATCCCTGTTTTTTCCCTGGAACATTCCAGCCTCCAGGGGCCAGTGTTGGAAGGGCCAGCCTTTGTTTGCCGAAGGTAGAGCCTCAGCCTCACCTGCAAAGGTCCTCTGGGACCCAGTCCCCAGCAGCACCTTCAGGTAGGACTGGGAAAGGCCCCTCTGCCTTTGGGACCCTGCGGAGGCATTGAGCAAGCAGAGAGCTGGGAGGACAGAGGGTGTGACTTCCTTGTAGCTGCTCTGCATGCTTTTAGTCCTTGTGTAAGTTTGGAATTAGATGTACCCTACAAGACTTTTTGTGAAGTGTCTGAGAAGAGTTGACCGATTAGCTAAGAACTCTGCTGTGCAGTATTTTATAAGAGTGAAAATTAGGCCCATTTCACTGGAGCTGGGCTGGCATCTTTCAAACCTGGCCTGTGGGCACCTTAATTACAAAGAATGCTGGTTAGAATGCTTCAGTTAAGATGATGCTTCCAAAATTCATCTCATTTGAAGTCCTCTCTGGATTTTAGAGGAGCTCCGAATTGTGTCTGAAATGACAACACAGCTCTTGAACTCCTCCTCCTCCCATTTCTGAGTTCTGAGCACTGGGTCTCCCCAGTTTGTGGCTGCTTTCAGAGTATTCTACACCTACATTCTTAAGACATTCAGGCACTTATGCCTCATCTGCTGGACCTGTTTTTCCAGGAAAAGGAATAAAAAGTCTCCTTATGGAGAGAATATTCAGTAATCATCCGAGTTTAGAGGTGCCATTATTGTGACATATGGGAATTGAGTACCTCTTTGGCTGTAGTCCAGTGGCCTTTCAGAGTGGTCAGTTCCTGTCTCAGATTCTATGATTCTTTCCCTGCCAGAGTGCTGTCATTGTGAAAGGGGGCAGGGGGCATGGGGTGGGAGAGCAGGAAAGGGGCTCTGCACAGACAGTGCCCAGGTCCCTCTTGGCCACCTGCCATGCCCCTGACAAGGGGAAAGAAGGGGCCTGGCTCAGGAGCCAGCATAGCAGTGCGCACTCCCACAGCAAGAGTGAGACCAACTTGCTTCCTCCTGGGGCTTCGTGTTAGTAACAATTGTCCCAGTGCCGCAGAGCAGCCCGTCATCCTGTGCTGCTGAGGGAAGAGTGGCGTGCGCAGCTGGGCTGCTGCAGGGCCACGCCAAACCTCTGGCCCTGACCCAAAATGCCCGGACGCCCAGCCACACGTGAGATCCGTGTGGAAACGCCTCCAGGCGCAGACCTGCAGGCCCACAGCTCCCCGGATCCGTGACACAGAGTCCTCCAGCAATGACCAGGCAGCCCATGCACACAGGGGGCTGCGGCCTGGGCTTCCTGCCTCCAGGAGGTTAGCAGCCCTACACTTCCCCGAGGCAATGAAACTGCAGTTCTAAAAGTGAGGGGGGTGGGGAATGAGGTGGCCTTCAGCCGCCGGCAGCAGCAGGCACCTTTCCCAGCCTGTGGCTCCTTGCGTCTGGCACTAAGGAAGTGCCTGAGAACCTGTTCCAGTGCTTTGCTGGGAAGAAAGTGGATGCTCGGGGCGGGGAAGTGGGGCCCACTTGTGCTGAATGCCCCTGGAAAGGGGCTGCCCTCGCCAGAGCGTCCTCAGAGAATAAATCTTCACAAGGCAAAGAGAACAAAAGGGACCGTTTGGCACTGGGTAAGGAGTGGAGGACTTGGAGCCTGAACGGAATCTTAACGATTCCTCTGAGGCAGCTCTGAGGGACGCTCAGGGCAAAACGGGCCACTGCTGCCGTGGCGGCGGCGGCGGCCCTCAGGAGCCACTGGGAGCAAATGAGGCTTTGCTAAATATGCAAGATTAAAAGGCTCTGTAGAACCACAGAGTCGAAACTGGGCCAGTCTTTATTAGGGGTTTCCTCAGAGTTTCCATTAGAATTCGTTTTGCTGAGGTCTGCATTGCATAGCCCATATGCAGAGTTTTTCTACTTTCTTTCTTCTCACAGTCCCCAGAAGAGCAACTGAAAGGAGGGTGAGGAGACGGATGGAGCTGCGGTTTTTACCCTTCCACCTCCCTCCTGAAGGGGTGGAGGCACAGCAGCCGCCAGGCCCCCAGCTTCATCCCTTGCATACAGCAAGTGCTCTTGTCCACCTCAGAGGCTGAGGTGTTTATGAGAGGCTGTCGGGATGAATCCATTTTTTATTTTATTATTTCATAAAAGTGGAGCTTAGATAGCATGGCTAGTGTAAACTTGTGAGGCAGAGTGGGTGCCTGGTGGGCCTTTGGATGCCTCGGTCGCCAGCCACCGTGGGCTCCCATGCTGCTCTGAGCCGCTGGGAGCTGCAGGCCCACAAGCCGCCCAGCCCTCCTTTTGAGCCCTTTCTGTGCCACCCGTTCAGCTCTTCCCATGGACTTCTCCTCCTTTGCTCCCCACACCCTGCCCCCTCAGCCCCCAAAGCCCCCCCCAACCCCCAGGCACCAGAGCCTGCCACCAGCATGACTGGCGGTGCCAGGCTGTGAGGCCGGTGTGGAGCGGTGGGGCAGCAGCTGCCCTTCCAGCCCCCACAGCTGCCCTGCCTTTTGGCAGTCAGAGTGGCTACTGCAGAGGAAGCCCAGCGAGACGGAGCGGTTTCAGCCTGCCTGTGCTTTTGGGGGCAGCTTTGTGTGTGTGTGGCAGAGGCAGGCATGCGGGGGGCACTGAATGCTGAATGTGCTGCTGTACCCTTTAAGGCCACTAAGATGGTGGGCTGGCCAGGAACGCCCGAGGTCCAGGATGCCTGAGGATGCACGGCCACCCCACCAGTGAGGCACCCTCCTTGCTGCAGGCGGGAGGCAGTTCGCCTCTGAGGAAAAGACTGGGCTGCCTTGACTTTTGCTTTGTGTTTGGATTTTTAAAGCAGCACCAGCAGGTGGGGCAAAGAGAGAGGGAGGCCACTTGGGAATGGAAAAAACGTTGACTTCAGAGGGTGCCTGGATTCTGAGGGATGAAAGAAAGAGGCGGGGAGGGGTAAAAATGCAAGTGAAAGCTGAGCTGCGAGTGTGAAGCCCCCGCAGAGCTTGCATCCCTGAACTGCACCTTGGAGCAGCAGTCAGTCTCCATCTGTCCGGTTTTGTTGGTTTGTTTGGTTGTTGCATTTCTTGAAGCATTCTGCACTTCGGGCTGGAAAATATCTTAGTTATTTCTAGATCTTTTTGCACATGAAAGGGATAGCTCTGAAGTAAAAAGGGATTAATGGATTTTAATTATGCATGGGGATGTTTTGTGGTGTTTGTTATAAGAATATAAGAAAAGCTTGGAACTGCAGCAGATCCGGTTTCTCACAGCGGCCAGTCAGAAGGCGTTGGGGAGTCCAGAAGCAGTCCTGGAGGGCAAATCACTGCCCATGACCCCTTTCTGGCAATAACATACCAAGGTAGTGAGGGGTGTGATTTGGGCCCCTTAGGCCCTAAGGGGTTTCTGCAAAGTTTAAGGAGCAAACATCCCTCTGGGAAGGATCTTAGCTCCAGCTACACGCACTAAGTTCTGTGGAGGTCTGACCAAAGCAGAACAGAGACTTGACCATGCATTATTTTCCACATTCTTATCCACATTATTTCTCTCTGTTGCTGCTCCCTAGAACTGTGTTAGCCACCCGGCAGTGCTCAGTTTGAGTCTGGTCTGTGGTCTACCCGCTCCCCTATTTCATCTTTTTCAGGCCTGGCTATCCAGCCAATGCCCCATCCTGCCTTTGTGTAGCAATTGATAATTCCTACTGAAACACAGAACCTTGCCTTTTTCTCTTTTGAAATGTATGTTTTTTCTTTTGGCTCAGCTCTCCATCCTGTGAAGATCATCTCAAATGTTCCCTCAGTCTTCTAAGATATGAACTACTTTAATCTGTATTTGACAAACATCTCCTTTATTCTCTTGTCTAAACCAAGGTGTCATATTAGCAGAGGATGATGGAAGTTATAGTCCAGCAAATCCAGAGGTCAACAGGTTGTGAAAGTCTTACAACAAGACTTTGGCTGCTGGGTCGGCTTTGTCTGGCTAGTCCCTTTGTCTGATCTCTCCATATGCCAGGCCTCCTGTTGGGCCGTCCTTCTTTGCTGATGACACCGGATGATGTCATGGACCAGGGCGGCTTCATTTGTGCCCGAGAAACTCCCCTGCTCCAACCATACGTCTTGGTTATTCCCTGGGACTGCCACCTGTCATCGCAGTGTCTGGGGACGGCCCACTTTCCCCAGACCCCTCCCACACCTCCTCTTCCTCTCCTGACGCTCCTTCTGAAGACCCACTAGCAGCCCTGGGGAATGGGCAGTCAAAGCAGCCACCTTTCTCACTGCCAACAGGTGGGACGATCTGCAGCAGGCCTCAGAAAGGTCAACTTGCTTTCCAGTTTGGCTTCTTTGTGGGATTCAAAGTCATTGCAGGGCCATGCAAGCAGACTTTGAATGCACAGGAGGTTCACAGGGGAGGCAGCCTGCCTTCAGATTCTTTGGCCCCCAACCATTTAGGGCCCCAGCTTCAAAAACACACTGGAAGCCAAGACTGCATCTTCAGCAGAGGCGTGCTGTGACTAGACCAGCTTGCCCATTGTTTTGTTTTCCCCAGATGGAGTTCATGTGAAACTGACATTGTATTTCATCAAACTGATTTGTTTTCTTTGGGATCAAAATGGTAGTCATGTCATGAGCCGAGCCCACTGGAGCTGGGGGTCAGACTAGATGGCCTGGGAGACCCCTTTGACTCACTCTTTTTCTATGTTTCTAAAATATTTTTGGGAAATAAAATGTTCAGTGGAACAAGGTCAATGTTTACATTGCTTCGTTTTCCTCCTTCAGGATGCTTGGAAGCATGTTGCACCTGAATGTTGTTGGGATTTTGCTTTCTCTGCCTAACTGCTTTTGTATTTCCTCCTCTTCCTAACAGGAACCACAATGGCCTTCTTTCTGTTGGCCTTGTCTGCCTTTACCCAGTTCGTTCCTCAGGAAGCGTTCCATTTCTCCAGGGAAAGCACAGGTAATTGGAGCGCTAGGCATGCCTGCATGATCAACAGACTTGGATGGTACCATTTGCCTGGTGCTGATGGAGGATGAGAGAGGATGACAGAGAAGTCTTGCACAGTTGAATGTTCCCCTAAGGAAAATACCCTGCTCCAGTCCATAGAACATGGCTTCCCAAGATTTTTCCAAAACAACCAACCATGGGAGTTCTGGGCTGGGTTTGCATGACATGACAACCTACCAACTATAACAGCCAGTGGTCATCTGAACCCTGCTGTTGTGTAGCATCCCCTGCTCTCTAAGAGGGGCAGCCTGGGGTTAAGGACAGAAAGTCAGGGACTCCTAGCCTAGGTCTGTCCTGTGTGAAATGTGTACTGCCTCTAACATGTAGTAGCTGTCATTGCTTCTCTCCACCAGATGACCTCAAAGCTCTGAAGGTCTCGATTGCCAAGTACCCTCCAGTCCGAGCCATGCTTGCTGGTAGCCTCACCATCCCCTGCCATGTTACCTACCTGCGTCCGCTGCCCATGTCTGGAACCTCTGGCCGTCTTGCTGTCCAGGGAGCACCCCGTGTGAAATGGACCTTCCTTACTGAGGGCAAAGAAGTGGAGATTCTGGTAGCTCAGGGCCAGAAGGTAAAGGTGAACGAAGGCTACCACGACCGGGTCTCCCTCCCCTTTTATCCTGACTCACCAACAGATGCCACCTTGGTCCTGAATGAACTGAGGTCCAATGACTCCGGGATCTACCGCTGTGATGTTCAGCATGGGATTGAAGATGGGCATGATCTGCTGGAGGTGAAGGTAAAAGGTAATATATACTCTGCTTACCTATTTTGTCTGTGTGGGGGGCAGGGGCTGGATTCAGGTCCCAACCCACCAGACATGATCTCAGCTGATGTTTGAAACCCAACACAAGGTGCTTGAGGAGTGCAGAGAGGCAGAATCTTTAATATGCTCTTTGATTACCCTTCTAGCTGTTTGTTTGTTTGTTTGTGTGTTTATGCGTGCATGCATGTGTGCATTTTTTCTGGCAAGGAAGCTTACACAATCCTCTTCCCTGTCTCCATTTTATTTTCACAACAACCTTATCAGGTAGGTTAGACTGAGAGTCTGTGATCGGCCCAAAGTCATCCAGGGAGCTCCATGACCAAGTGGGGACAAGAGCCTGGATTTTGCACTCTCATGCTGGCACTCCGCCCCTCAGTCGGGTCTCATTTCTGGATCTGAGTTTTGTTGTGGGGAACCTTTACAATCAACGGGGGGGTGGGGGGGAGGCTTCTGCAAAGAAAACATGAAATGTCTTCTGCTGCTTTTCTTGTGCAAGTTATCTGTCTCCACATACTATAGGGATTTTGCAAAGGGAAACCTAAGAGGGATTGGAAAGTTCATCTTTCCCCTGCAGCATCCTTTGCTGCCAAAGTCCACCAGCACGGGGATGTTCCGCTGGCCTGGAAGGGTTGCAGCTCTGAACATGTACTCCCTTTGTGAAACCAGATGTCCTAGCTTCCTGTGTATTTCTCAGCCCAATTCACAAGGCTGGTTTTAACTTTTAAGGCCTGAAACAATCAGGATTTGATTGCATTAGGGACTGCCTTCACCTATATGGGCTTGCACATACTCTGAGGTCTTGCTTGTGTCCTATGGTAAATGTGGTTAAGTCGAGGAGCACAAGTGGTAGGGATTCCAGTGGTGGCTCCAATTTATAGAATTCTCTTCTGGTTGATGTTTATTTGGACTTTTCAATTCAGGCCTTTGGGAGACCTTTAAAATGTATCTTTTAACCACTGCCTTTCTGTGTCACTCACTGCACTTTTTCTTCATGTCATGTCCCTGCGTGGCACCTACATGATCTGTGTCATGCGCCCTTGTTTCATTCAATTCATGTATTGTGCTTGGTGAGCCTTTGGTTCCAAAAAGCAGTGGAATGAATGAATGAATGAATTCATAGCATAACACAGCGATAAAGCATTCCCACAGCTGGAGGGGCCAAGGTGGGTTCATTTTGTCCAACCTCCTATTTCCCAAAAGTGGCCAACCAGATGGCTTCATGAGGCCTAGAAGCAAGATAGGATGACCATGACTCTACTTCATGATTTGCCCAAGCTGGTCATCCAGTGTAGGCTGCCTCTGAACATGGAGGTTCTGCTCCATGCCTAAAATTGGGAATGTTCCCATCAATAAATAAGTAGCCTCAGAACCTGTCTAATGGAGCTTCTACAGCAGCACTGAGGCAGAACAACTCATGCCAACACCATGCCAGCATCAGAGGCTCTTATACCAATGACTCCATGGAAGTGGTCCCTAGTTCTAAAGCAGGATAGCAACTGTTTCAGAGTCTACACTCAGTCCAGCCCTGCAAAGCCTGGACAAAAGAAGCCATGACGGATGAAGAGGAAGGAGTGTGCTTGCGGAGGACTCTCCATCTTCCTGCCTCAAATCCAGAGTGTTTGGCTAATCTCACACTGGACATTTCACACTTGATAGATGTGAACAAAGCTGTTATAGCAACTGTCTCCTCCACCTTGTAGGAGTCGTATTTCTTTACCGAGAAGGCTCAGCCCGCTATGCTTACACCTTTGCCAAGGCCCAGGAGTCTTGTGCCAGGATAGACGCTGAGATTGCCACGCCGGAGCAACTGTACGCAGCCTACCTCAGCGGCTACGAGCAGTGTGATGCCGGCTGGATTGCTGATCAGACAGTCAGGTAGGTGAGGTGTTGAAGTTTCTCCACCTGTGCAACATGGACGGAATGTTTCTCACTTTCCACGAGATGTTTTCTATTGTTTAAAAATGCCTTTTGCTATTGATGCTATTGATGTTTCAAAATATGCTACCAAAAATATAAACACAACATTGAAACCATCTGTAAATGTGCATTACAGATCTTCCCCTAATAAAATATTTCAGTTCAACCACTTTTAAGAACTACCAAAAAAGGAGATATAGTGCACAGGAAAAAATTCTAAAACATTTCCCCAAAATGCTTCAATTGAATTAATTGGTGGTGGGTGTGCATGGGGGCACAAGTTCACCTCACTCTAAATTAAACTATTTTATGCCAAATCCCTCGATGTATCTTTTTGAATAAAGCACCTGGGGTCAGAGCACCGGAAGGACCGCTTCTTTTTGCTGAGTGGAGGAGGTCTAGAGTTAGGGATAGGGTCTAGGAGGAGGTCTCTTCATGGATCACAGCCTTGTCGTGGCGAAGGGGCTTGCATAGCTCAATGAAGCTATGAGCTATGCCGTGCAGGGCCCCACAATACAGACAGGTCACAGCAGAGAGCTCTGACAAAACGTGATCCACTGGAGAAGGAAATGGCAACCCACTCCAGTACCCTTGCCATGAAAACCCCATGGACAGTACCAAAAGGCAAAAAGATATGATGCCGGAAGATAAGCCGCTCAGGTCAGAAGGTGTCCAATATGCTACTGGGGAAGAGCAGAAGAGTACTAGTAGGGCCAGAAAGAGTGAAGCGACTGGGTCAAAGCCGAAAGGACACTCAGTTGCAGATGTATCTGGTGGTGAAAGGAAAGTCTGATGCTGTAAAGATCTATACTCCATAGGAACCTGGAATGCAAGATCCATGAATCAAGGCAAGCTGGATGTGGTCAAACAAGTGATGACAAGACTGAACATTGACATCTTAGGAATCAGTGAACTAAAATGGACAGGAATGGGTGAATTTAATTCAGATGACCATCAGGTATACTACTCCGGGAAAGAATCCCTCAGAAGACATGGAGAAGCCTTCATAGTCAATAAAAGAGTAGGAAAAGCAGTAATGGGATACAATCTCCAAAATGACAGAAGGATCTCAGTTCAAATCCAATGAAAACCATTCAACATCAAAATAGTCCAAGTCTATGCCACAACCAGTGGTGCTGAAGAGGCTGAAGTTGACTAGTTCTATGAAGGCCTACAACACCTTCTAGAATTAACACCAAAAAAGGATGTCCTTATCATCATGGGGGATTGGAATGCTAAAGGAGGAAGCCAAAAGATAACTGGAATAACAGGCAAGTTTGGCCTTGGGGTGTAAAATGAAGCAGGGCACAGGCTAGCAGAATTTTGTCAACAGAACACGATGGTCATAGCAAACACTCTTTTCCAACAACCCAAGAAACGGCTCTACACATGGACATCACCAGACGGTCAACACAGAAATCAGATTGACTATGTGCTCTGCAGACGAAGATGGAGAACCTCTATACTGTCAGTAAAAACAAGACCAGGAGCTGCCTGTGGCTGAGATCATGAGCTTCTTGTGGCAAAATTCAGGCTTAAATTGAAGAAAGTAGGGACAAGCACTAGGCCACTCAGGTATGACCTAAATCATATTCCTGATGAATATACAGTAGAGGTGACAAACAGATTTAAGGAATTAGATCTGATAGACAGAGTGCCTGAAGAACTATGGACATGATAAAGGACCAAAATGGCAGGGACCTAACAGAGGCAGAAGAGATTAAGAAGAGGTGGCAAGATTACACAGAAGAACTATACAAGAAAGAGCTGAATGTCCCTGATTCCCATGACGGGGTGGTCACTGACCTCGAGCCAGACATCCTGGAATGTGAAGTCAAATGGGCCTTAGGAAGGCTGAGCAACAACAAAGCTAGTGGCGGTGACAGTATTCCAGCTGAGCTATTCAAAATCCTAAAAGATGATGCAGTAAAAGTGCTACACTCAATATGCCAGCAAATTTGGAAAACTCAACAGTGACCACAGGAATGGAAAAGGTCAGTTTACATTCTGATCCCAAAGAAGGGCAATGCCAAAGAATGTTCAAACTACCGCACCATTGCACTTATTTCACATGCTAGCAAAGTGATGTTCAAAATCCTACTAGCTAGGCTTCAGCAGTATGTGGACTGAGAACTACCAGAAGTACAGGTAGGATTTCGAAGAGGGAGAGGAACTAGAGATCAAATTGCCAACATATGCTGGATCATGGAGAAAGCTAGGGAGTTCCAGAAAAACATCTACTTCTGCTTCATTGACTATGCTAAAGCCTTTGATTCTGTGGATCACAA